AAGATATTATTGTTGGGTACTCAAAAAAAAAATATTATTGCTGGGAGGGGCAATTAAATTTTTTACCTTCTTGAGAGCTTCAGAAAGTTTCTTCTGGTCGAGGACGAGATCATCAGGTACCTCACTTCCCCAAGTAGCCAGCTTTTTCTCTTCTGCTGGGGCTGGTGTATCTGTAGTGATGTTAAAAAGACCATTCAAAAGTTACATATTTTTAAATAATCTTGAAAATGAAGTACAAATAACATAATTTCATTCCAAATATCCAAGGCGAGCAAGTGTATATATCATTCATGCTGCTTTCAGTGGATAGACAATATTTGCAGCAATAACAGGATTACAACATTCAGGAAGGCATTCCGAATTCAATTTTTAAAAAATTATAATATTGTTTCCCGAGTACTAACCTTCAGAAGTTGCTTTGCGAGCAATATTAGACTTCATCAAGTCTGCTGCTGCTTCAGCAGCCTCAATTCCAGCCACACCAGTACAATAACTGTTCCGGATGGTTTGCTTACAGCATTTATAGCCCCACTGATGATCCTTCCACCATGAGCCCCAAACACTCGTGTGATTGTTTATGAAAACATCTTCCTCATATTTGCTTTTGGGAAGGGCCATCTCCTTCAAGGGGAAAAAGAATAAGGAGAAAACAATAATCAGAATTCAGAAGAGGGTAAGCATCCTTCACAATTGAGGCTAGAAGAAGAAAATGAGAAAAATAAGATGCGAAAATACAAAACCAAATATAATGTCATGATGTAGCTCGCCAGCTCTTTGCCTAAACTATTTAATTTGAGATTAAGTGGAAAGCATTATAATCATTTGTCAACCATTTATTTTTATGGGCTACAAATAAAATATTAGTTGGAGTAGGTAAAATTTTTTAAGGGTTGGGCTAAATTAGGGCTTCGTGGCTGTGTTAGCTAGGTATTGTATTCACAATCTAATTGTTTCACTAAAATAAGTAAAACAATTAGAGAAACCCAGAAACAGCATTGCTAAATCAGAATTAACAAGTATTATTGGATAAACCTAATCAGAACTAACAAGTAAAATAGGCATTTTCTTATCCACTTGACTCACTCCCCCCAATCCACACGCACGCATGAACAAACAAAACAGAAGAAACAATTTCGACTCTTCTTTCCATACTTCAAAATAATCATGTAAAGTGTGGAAGCATGATACAGAAAATAAAATACAGTTATTGCCATAGTCATAATGATCTCAACATTCAAAAGACTAATTATTTCCAGGTATAAATATTCAGCAAAAGTGGCGGACATGTGACAGGATGGATATAACTGTAAAACAAAACAAGATAATAACTCAAAGTCAATTAAATATGCATCCTGATAAATTGACAGTGAAGTAATTCTTTGGGAAGAGAAATAAAAAGAATGTGTTCATATAAATTTAATACCAGGCCTCTAACAATTCTGCCAGCACGGTCATATTCAACTTGTCTCTCACTCTGTCCCAGTAAAAGTTCCCGAGGCAGCTTTTCCTCAGCAGCCGCATTCCCATACTTCTCCATAATAGCATCCTTTGTATGTGACTTCAACTTCTCTTTAATAACCTTGTAGTTCTTGTAGAGAAGTTCAGCTTGTGATGGAGCAGCTTGCAGATGGATATCTTGACCTTTGTCAAATGCTTCCCAAGCATGCACATTGAGTTGCTTGAAATCCAAAGCTTGTCCACTGATTCTGTTTTGGTTATCACCCTATTATAACAAAGATGATCAACGTATTAGATTCATGCTACATTAATAACTATTACTTTGTTGAAATTTAGAGCAAATAGAAACTTTGTGATCCCATGTTCCGATACTTACTCCATAAAATTTCTCGTTTGGATCAGCATCAGGAAGAGGATCTTCACGCATGGACCGAGTTTTGGGATCATAATGTGCAGAATTGACATCAAGATTTAAAAGATATTTTGCTGTATCCTCTCGAATACGCAAGTTCCTAAGTTGTGAACAAATAATTAGCAGAGCATTCGGAAGTTCTATAAAAGAACTAAACAGGGGAGACATAAATGAAGAAACAAACATAAAAATATTACAAGACATACCTTACAGTTCCCGTGCTTCCACCACCCGTCGTGCGAACACGCTTCTCAACTTTTGCAAAGTCCATTTGTTTGCTTTCGTCAACCTTTGCCTCGTCAACCTTCAAATCATCTTCATCCTCATCTTCATCACTAACTTCAGCATCCTCACTCTGCTTACTATCTTTCCCTTCCAATTCTTTAAGTTGTTGTTCTTTCAAAAATTTTCTCCTTGCTTCATCTCTAGCCTCATACCTCTCAATGACACGAGCATAGGTTGCTGGATCATAACCATTCCAACGATCTCTTTTGCCATCATAGTCTAGTTCAAATGTCTCTATCTTCTCATCTGGTGCTATGTGCATGTTAGTCCATTTGGCTCCCATCTTTCGGGGCCTTTCCATGCATGACTTTGCATCATGTGTCATTGCTCCACAACTGGGCAAGCAAAAAAATATACGTACGATAAGTCACAAGGAAACTAAATTAAATAACAGGATATGCTTGAAAAATATTATAAACATCAGGTGAGAAAGATTAATATGAAGAGAATTTCCACTGCGTATATCAAAAAACCTAAAATGAGTTAAGATTATAGTTCCAAATCTATTAGACTTTAGACTTGTTTGTACAGTAACAACAGAAAGTTTAATGTTGTTGCCGGATCATGTATTTGCAGGAGGGAGTGCACTCCATAATGTAAAGAATACTCATCTCCAATATATTCCATCCACAAGCAAAAGTGCAAATTAACCAAAGTTCAAAAATTGACATGCATTTAAAGTTTTACAAGTTAAGTGACACCATGACCAATTTAAGCTACATCCTCGTGCATAGAAGGAAATCAAAGAACAACATCTTCAAAACAATTAAATTTAGACCCTGAAGGCAGACAACATAACCAACATCCTAGCAAGTGGACAACAGGATATCCATGCACTCAATCTTTACTTCCAAATTTTCTTCCTTTTTCGGGACAAGACATAGAGCAGTCTAAATAACTAGCTTTTCTGGACAAAAAACATGTGCCTAGTACATGATCCCTTCTAAACCTTATAATTGTAAATGGGTTTCTGATGCAGTCACAACCCCATGATTATGAATGAACCATGCACACATCCAGCAGAAATCACCCACCCATAGACCATGACTAAGATTCCTTCTTTCCATAGACATGACAATATAAAAACACGGTAAAGTGTCACTAATAAACAAAACTACACATACATGCAAGAGAATAAGCAATTGTTGGCCATCTACATTCAATAGCTGGCCATTTACGCACCCGTAGGCTGTTTCTTTCTCTTTCTTGTCTATAAAAGGTTTCTTATCCAAAAAAGAAAAAGAAAAAGAAAAAGCAATAGCTTCGTTTCTCTGACAGAAAACCTGGCCATCCACATTCAATAGCATCTCCCCAATTCTAATCCACAAATATGATTGACATCTTTTTTTCACAGCAAAATATGGAATAAATTAAAAACCTGATTCAATGTCCCATTACTAGTATAATTAGTTTATAGGAACCCTCATTAGTAATAAATTTAAGAACGCCCAGAGCCATAGGCCGAGGAGTACACATAATGGTGAACAAGGAGAGATTCATCTGACTTACTTTTCACATGCACCCTTCCTGTACTTGTCTGCCTGATGTATTTTTGCGCCTCTATCATACCAGGATTTTGTATAATTCGGATCTGATTTCCATTTCCTTTGATGTTTTAAACTCTGGAATACAATAAAAACAGCTTCAATCATCATGAACCAACATAAAATCTAGAAAGTGGGCAAGAGAGAAACTTACTGGTCTCTCAGCATTAAGATACCAAGGTGCAGAGGACATATATTGAGGAATATGCGGGTTGATTTCTTTCCCATCTTCATCAACCTCAGCCGGCGCAAGCCCTGCTTTACGTGCTTCCTCCAATTCAAGTTGCTTACGATGATCCTCTCTAGATTTGAAAGCACCTGCAAAAAAATATTAAGGACACCCAAAATTGCCTTTAGTTCAATAATGCAGAAATCACAAAAAAAAAAAAGGGAACGAACCAGTAACGTGAAACAACGTTCATAATTCTACCTATACTTATTTCTTTAGGTAAAATTGTCGCATTGGAAATAATACCTGATGCAGTAGCCATCTTCAACAGGAACAGAAGGGATATTCGAGAGTAACGTCAAAGTTATTGTGAACCCTATCCAAC